CACCCTCCGGCCCGCGCGGCCCAGCCGAGCCTGCTCTGCAGCGGGACACGGCCCCAGGTCAAGGGAGTGACCCGGACGGTTAACCGGCACGAAGGCAACTCTGCTGCCCAGCCCCACCCCTTCTTCCTCCCCTCGTCTATATGGGAGTTAATACTCCTGGACAGAAGGGTACTGCAGGTTTAATAACTGGAATTATGGTTCTTTCCTGTTTTCCCATGTCCGTCACCCAGCATTAGCGCAGTGCAGGTGACTCTGACTTACCCGGGTTGTGGGGAGAGAGGGAGCGCGGGCTCACCCGCGCCTGCGGCCGGAGGGCGTCCTGGGCCCGGGCTCTCAGCCTGTGGTCTTTGATACGAAAGCAGGGGCCGTCTGGTCTTGAGGATCCAGAGCTTCCATCCTGCGGGCCCTCGGCCCTCGGGCTCCTTCGCGGTCAGGCCCCTGGAGGTCTGTGGACCGCCGGTCCCCAGGAGCAGGGAATCCAGGGGGTGGGGGTGGCCCTGAGAGCTGCAGGCCGCGCCCTACCCGGGTCCCCTGCTTCCAAGGTGGAGAGGCTCAGAAGGAATCAGCCGGCGGGGTTTCCTTTTGGTTAAGTGTTAAATTTACTCCGGCATTATTTATAAGTTTCCTACATTCTTACCTGGAACCAGGGCACTGGGTTGGATGCTGCCCATGACCTCTGTGCATCCACACTACCCCACGACGTAGCTACTATTTACAACCCACGTTTTACAATTATGGAAATTGTGACTCTGAATGAAGTGTCCTTCCCAAGGTCACACAGCACACAGTGGATTGCAGAGCCGAGAACTACCGCTTGAACCCAAATCCAAGCTCTCCATCCTTCACTGCCCACGCCTGGCTTGCTCTTCTTTCCAAGCCAAGCCCAAGTGCAGCAAAAGAAAAGGGACATTAGAAGTGGCAACAAAACACGACAAATCAAATGCTTAGCCTCTGACCCACCCACTTCTCATGGGGAGTTGGGGCGCGTGGGGTGAGGGAGGGCAGGGGGCAGGCAGTGCTAACGCCCACCCACTGGGACGATGCACCTTAACCTCGGGTTTCACCCCCTCCTCACCCTCACATTGCAGTAGGGCACTTCAGCCCAGTCACTCCTATCTTCCACGTAAAAGGAAAACTCTTCCATCTCTAAGTCTCCAGTCAAATGACAGAGTCGAGGGACACACAACCTGACAAAGCATGTTCAGTTTCAGTGGGTTTTGTTTTTTTTTTACTTTTTTTTTTTTATTTAAATACGGAGAATTCTTTCGTATGGGAAGAGCTAGTACAGTCACATATTTGAAAGGAGAAACAACAGGTACTGAACCGGAGGGAAGGGTGAAGGGTGAGTGTGCCACCATGGCCTGCTGAATCCACGGTTCCATTTCCCATCCAAGGTAAAAGCTCCCCCAGACAACGCAGAAACAAGCTGCACGTTACACCTTTAGCCATCGTCTGCCCTTTCATATATCTGGTCTACGTGAAAAGACACGGAGAGGAAAGGCCAAAATAAGAACAAAAGGAAACGAAACACAACCCTCTCAGGAACAGCAACAAAAAAACCCGAACCCTTTTTACTATGCAAGGCATGAGGTCCAAAGCCTGGGAGTACGGTAACCCCTTTACACAATGGAAGAAAGGCATCCACAGAGAGCCTTAACAGAAAGTTCCACTACGAGGCTTTGAGGCATGCTGAAGACGGGGCCCCGGGGACACTGTACCATCTTGGAGACCACCTAACTGGGATGGAGAAACCGTGAACAGCAGGTTGTAATATCACTAGGCAAATATGCGCTGGTGGTCCCGGTGGAGGGCACGGCTGGGGGACAGAGTGTCTGACCCCAACACTGAGCCATTCCTGTCCGAGTGATCTGCTCGTCTTAGGTCCAGTTCACTTTTCAAACAGGAAGAGCCGGCTTTCTGGAAGTCTGCACTTCCCAGTCATCACAGAACAGTACCAAGTACCAACAAGTACCCTAGTCCTTGGTTGCCGAAGGCCATTTCCAACAGAGCTTCTAACCCAGGCTAGCTCTGCGGGAAGGGAAATGGGACAAATGCAGATTTGAGAGGCAACATGCAGCTACTTGGTGGAGGGGAACCACACAGCAGGGAGGGGGCTTCAGCAGTTGGCCACACACTGCCTCAGCAGGCCAGTTGTGGGCGTGGCTGCGCCCTCGTGTGCACCCTTGGCCTCCTTGGCCCTTGACCATCAGTCACCAACCTCATCAACCACCCAGAAAGCAGGTCCAGAAGACAGGAGGGCGAGGGCAGAGCTAGAGAAAACTGATGCCCGTTATTTAATGACAAGATGCCCCAATATCCCCTGGCAGTGGCTGGAATGACCATGGCTTTGGAACTGGACCAACCAGTTTTTCTGAATGTGCAATAGTCGTACTTTAGTGTTCCCCCTGAAGGAACCCAGAGCCAAAAGTGTATGAATTCCATGTTTGAAAACAATGATGATTAAAAAGGGGAAGCAAAGAGAACCAGACCAAATACAGATGCCAAAGAAGTCTTCAGTGGGTGGACAAGGCCACAAGGATACATGAACCCATACTCTCGGATTTTACCCCACTGAGTAACTGACGTTGGACATACTGCAGAATCACTGGTTGCTGAGCAACGGGCTGCACCATCAGTGGGCTAGGGCAAAGCAGCCAGCATGAGAAGGGAGGGTAATTTTGGCAGGCAGAGGCTCAGCGAGAAGACTCTGACACCCCCACCCCCACCCCCAGCAGCAGAAAAGGTTAAGTGCTAGTCTCCACCTGTTCCGGCCAAAGGCCCAAGGCATTCTGCCAGAGGCCTTTGCGCGGACACGCAATCTGAAGATGGGGATTTGAAGGCAAAATATGACCCTAAGTCCTATTACCTTGAGCTTGGCTCTAAAACCACATGAAAAGAGGAGAGAGGTTGCACCTTAAGACATCTCTGCACTAAAAACTGCAGCTCATCAGACCAAGGAAGGGACGGGGTGTTGGTTGGGCCCAAGGCCTGCCCTCTGCCTCCAGAGTTCAATTTAAAATCTGTATCTCAGCGGGGAAGAGCCTGCAGCTTGGGCACACGAAGGTGGTGAACGCACTGAACTTCACATGCAATTTCCTGGCCTTTCCTGCACAGAATAACTCAGACATTATATATAAATAGAGCAGTTGAAACATTTACTTTTTTCACCTAGACCTACAACATCAATACATATAAATAAATTCTAGTGTTTTCTGTTTTTATTGGGGGTGGGGGTGGGGAAATACAGGGGTAGAGAAAAGGGCTGGAGAACAGGTGACCCTTTCGTTTTTATTTTTTCTCAAACAGGAAGTGCCGTCACTCTGATGGCAGGTTCACCTGAAGGATACAGCTCGAGAGTTTGTAACAGCATCCAGGACTGTCCTGTTCAATTTCAAAATGAGAAAGCCTTTTTTCCTTTTGACAAACAATGTGCACTGGAATTAGGTGTGAGGGGTCTGGCCGTGTTTCTAAGTGTGAGTGTGTGGCCTCTGCAGGGGCGGCTGGAGCGGAGAGGAGCTCGGTCAGGGCGGCTGGGTGCGGGGATGGCCGCTAGGCACTCGCGGGGCGGGGAGACAAGAGCAGGTGAGCCAGTGGGCAGCCCTTCAAGAAGGGCCTTCGGAGTAAAGAGTCAGGGGATGAAGGAGAAAAAAATAAAAACAAGCTAGTGCGAAGTAAGGCCTGAGGGTGGAGGCAAGGAGGGGAGTGCTGAACGCTATCGATCAAGCGGTGAAGCATCTTTCAAGAACACCAGCCTCCCCGGATGACGCCGGGAGGAGCCCCGCACCCTCTGCCAGGAGGCTGCTGTTCCCCCACTTCCTTAAAGCCGTGAAGAGCAAGTGACTTCGGCGGTTCCTAAGGCGCTTCCTTCCCCGTGTTCCACGCTGGACAGAGCTTAGAACCACTGCCCGAGTGACTGTCACACACCTGTGGCGACACTGCGGGTGGACTCTGTGGGGCACGCCCCGGATCGCCTACTGCCCATTCTCTGAGGCAGGTCTTCCCTGGACCCGCCAGCAACGGCAGACAGATGGCGGGTTAGTTACTCCCAAGAGCGTGAGCAGAACTTCAAATTTCCCCTCGCCTTTCCTTGGAATGACAGAATTTGGGATGATTTCCTTCTAATTCTTATCTTAAAAGCAAAAGCCTAGCATAAAATGCCTCACACAGACCCTGACAAAGGCAGCTCTGCAGACTTACGAGGCTACCCAGGCTGTTCTGGGAGTCACCGTCAGCCCTGCAACCCACCGTCCCCTTGGACACTGCTCTGTCCTTGAAGAGACCCACTGCCCAGCTCAGGCCTCTCTGTCCCCACAGCCTGGGTCTGCTGCTGGGAGCGGAGAAAAGGAAGCTCTCCCAGCGGCCTCCCAGAGCTCACGCCTCTGTCGCAGACCCAACCAAACCCCCGTCCATGCGCTCACGGCCACACGGATGAAGTGCCTGGCCTCTAGTGACAACCATCCATGCGTCCGTCACCACAGAGGAAGTGCGTGGCTTCCAGTGATGAGCTGTGGGAGAGGTGGAGGGACAGGAGGACCCCGAGAGACGGAGGCAGCTCAGGAAGGTCGAGGGAAGCTCGGAGGGGAGGGAGCGCGTGGGCAAACACCAGGCCCCGCGGGTGCTGGAGTCCCAGAAGCAGACACTGACGGGGGCTGGTGCTGTCAGTTCGCACCGTCCAGGCCACACTGGAAAATGCCAGGGCCTTCTATCTCCCTGATTCACCTCAGGTGCCCAGCGGTCAGTGTCCCCACCAGTTTTGAAGAGTTCAAGACAGAAATTCTGTGTAATTCTTACGCTAAAAACGGCGTCAACTTCACCGGCCGCCCATTAATTCGCTGTGGTCACCAGGCCAGCGGCTGGAAGCCGACTGAAACGCCATCCCACCTCCCCTCCCTCCCACCGCCGCTTCCCAAGCTCAGGAGCGGCGTCTTTAAGTCACCACTTCTTTTTGCCAGTAACCTCAAAGGTTAACCAACCGAGACACAGAGAGCAGGAGAGGGCACGTTCCTACGCGTCACCTCTTAAGGTGTCGCAGCAGTGACGTATCAAATGAAACAGGAGAGAGGTTAAAAGGAAACTACTGCGACAGAAGAGGGGTCAGGGAGAGGACAGCGAAGAACATATACAAGTCCAGCTCTTACAGACAAAGCTTGCATTTCTCTTTCCC